ATAATTGTTACTCAGGGACAGACACAGAATTGTTACTGAGGGACACAGAATTGTTACTGAGGGACACAGAACCGTTACTTAGGGCCACAGAATTGTTTACTCAGGGACAGACACAGAATTGTTACTCAGGGACACAGAATTGTTTACTCAGGGACACAGAATCGTTGAATTAAAAGAGTATGTCAGACAACATGCAGAGGAGTGGCAGAGGAGGCAATGTTTTAGAGCGAGCAGACGTGGCAGCAGAGGAAGGGGTCGAGGCAGCACACTTCGCAGCCAGAGGCCAGTGCTCCCGGTGTCATCCAGCGGTCGTGTCTCCACCGACAACCCTGCCGTCATCGATTGGTTGGCTCGGTCGTCTTCCTCTTCCCAGGTCACCTCTGACACCTACAGCCAACGGTCGGTGGGTACGTCAGACACAACCGTTAGTTGGCATGGCCCGGGAGCAAGCCCACTGAAATCACGTGTCCTCTACCTGCCCCTGTCCTTTGGTGTTCCCTCACCAAGCGAAGTATCGCATGCTGTGGGCTCAGCCCCACTGTACAGTGAGGAAGAGCTAACAGAGGGCGGTCAGGAACGGGGGGAGACATCCGCCTTTTCAGCAGCCAGGCAAAGAAGTAGTGGCGAGGAGAGTGGCCCGCTAGCCGGTCTAGAGACAGGTCTGTCTCCTGACCCAGACGCAGCCGAGGGGGCTAGTAGTGAGGCGGAGACCCTACTTGATGATGAGGAGGTTGATCGCACTTGGCAGCCTCGTCGTCATCAGGCAATTTCTTCCGCATCATCAGGAGAAGAGGGTGGCAGCTTGGCAGTGAGCGAAACAGTCGGTGGGTTGCCCAGGAGAGCAGCAGCAGGGTCGCAGCAGTGTCAGTGGAAGCAGTGTCAGTGGAGCCAAACGGCCACACGGAGTAGAGCACCAGCTCCACTGCAGCCTACCACCACGGCCAGTAGTGGTGCCGGTGTGCACGGAGGAAGCAGCAGTCAGCCAGTGAGGAGTATCGGGGGCAAAGTTTCCTACTCGGCGGTGTGGCAATTTTTCGTCAAGCCGCCCGAGGAAGTAAACGTAGCCGTATGTCGACTATGTGGCCCAGAAAGTCAAGCGTGCCAGGGGGCCCATGTTGGGACTACAGCGTTGCGGCAGCATATGCAGCGTCGCCATTTGGTGGCCTGGGAAAACCGTGATAAAGATACGGCGGTTCTGCCCGCCCCAGCCCCCGCTCCATCACCCGCTCCGTTACTTGCTCCGTCACCCGACGTCAATCGCCCTCCATCAGCCAGTCAAGGCTCCAACACCTCTGCTGAGGGGAGTTGTCGCTCGTTGGCATCTTCCGCTCGTTCAGATGCTCCTTCTCCTGCTACTCCTCTTCACGGATTCCGTCAGCAGTCTTTCTTGGAATCCGTTTCCAAGAGACAACAGTTTGCGAGCACGCACCCGACGGTGCAAAAGCTGAACGTCCTCCTGTCCAAGTTGCTGGTGCTGCAGTCCCTCCCTTTCCAAGTGGTGGACTCAGCACCTTTCCAGAGAAATGATGGCTTGTGCCGCGCCGCGGTGGAGAGTGCCAAGCCGTCATTTCTTCGCCAAAAAGGCAGTGCCAGCCCTGCATTCACATGTAGAAGACATGGTGGGCCAGTCTTTGAGCATGTCGGTCTCTGCCAAAGTGCACGGCAGCGCCGACGTGTGGAGCTGTAACTACGGTCAGGGACACGTACATGTCATTTACGGCCCACTGGGTGAACGTGGTGCCGGCACAGCCGCACCAGCAACTTGGACAGGTCACGCCGCTTTTTTGCCTCCACGTTTGCACGTCCTTGGTCCGGCAAAGATGTCCGCCTCTACCACCTCTTCTTCCGCCGTGTCCTCAGCCGCCACCCCCCCCCCGTGCCAAGTCCCATTACCCGACCGGCATATCACATGTGCAGGGCGCAACGGTGTCACGCTGTTCTGCACCTGGTATGCCTTGGCGAACGTAGTCACACAGGGGAGGAACTTCTGAGTGTAATGAACAGAGAAATCGACAGATGGCTGTCTCCGCGCAAACTGAAAATCGGAACCATGTTGACCGACAACGGAAAGAACATGGTGTCTGCTCTGCGTCAAGGAAGGTTGTGCCATGCGCCATGCATGGCTCACGTGTTCAATCTGGTTGTCAAGCGGTTCCTAAAATCCACCATCCCACTGCAAGACATCCTTAAAATGTCACGTAAACTTTGCATGCATTTCAGCCATTCCTACACCGCAAAGCAGCACACCCTCCTTGAGCTGCAGCGGGCAGAACGGAATTCCACATCATCGCCTGATCTGCGACGTTGCAACAAGGTGGAATTCAACCCTACACATGTTAGACCGCCTTTACGAGCAGCGAAAGGCCATCACCGATTTCCTGATGTTACAAGCGGATAAAGGTACTCCCCTGTGTAACTTTGATGTCAGCCATTGGCAGCTCATGCGTGACACCTGCCGCTTGCTCAGGGCCCTTTGAGGAGGCCACACGCTATTCGTGAGTCGGCAGGACTATGGGATGAACGACGTCATTCCTCTGTTGCACGTCCTTAAACAAATGCTGTTAACAATGGCTGGTCAGGGTGCGGTAGACGTGGCGCACAGATCTCAACGCCACATGACCCCTGTGGGGGCAGGACAGGAAGAAGAGGAGGAGGTAGAGAGGAGGACATTTGTGCTCAGGAATTATTGAGTGAAATGGGTGGTTTTTCCACTCAGCAGACAGGAGTGGAGGAGCAGGAGCATCTGGTAGAGGAGGAGGAGGAGGAGGAGACAGAGGACCCAGACGCACCGTGGCAGTATGCTGTGGAGATGGAGGCAGGGAGTCCCTCGCATTCCTTGGCACAAATGGCCCATAGCATGCTCGGTTTGCTTGCGTAGCGACAGCCGAATAATAACCATCAGACAGAGGGATGACTTTTGGCTGTCCACCTTGTTGGACCCTTCGCTACCGTTCAAAAATGGTGGCCTTTTTCACACCTGCTGAGAGGGAGGCCAAAATAACGTACTATAAAAAACCACCTATGTAGTCAGTTGGTCTCTGCCTTTGTGCGCCAACGTCCATCCTCAGACACTGTGGGCCCTGTGCGCTCGCGTTCCGCTGCCATGGCAGCAGGGGGAGGGGTGGGGTGGTAGGAGCAGTGGCAGCTCCACCAGCAGCGGCTGCCTCAGTCTGCAGTCGATGATGAGAGTAGCTTTCTTCACCAGCGCAGTGAGGAAACTACTAACCAGCCGCAGCAGCAGCAGCAGCAGGTGGACCTGGAGCAGGACCTCAAACAACAGGCTTGGGCCTACTTGGACAGCACCCTGCCAACCGAGGTAGACAATCCCCTTGACTACTGGGCAACGAAACTTGACCTTTGGCCCCAACTAGCTGAATTTGCCCTTGAAAGGCTGTCATGCCCGGCCAGTAGCGTGGCATCGGAGCGCGTGTTTAGTGCGGCAGGAGGTATTGTAACTCCGCGGAGGACACGACTGTCCACCCAAAGTGTGGAGAGACTCACGTTTGTGAAAATGAATCAGGCGTGGATTAGTCTGGATTTCAAACCACCAGTTCCTGACACAACTGACTAAATCCGCCATGAATCATGCCTCAAAACATGTGCCACTTTCAGGTCTCCTCACACACTGCTGGTGTGTTTTCCATTTTTTGTCATAGGGTGCTGGCAGATTACGGGCCTCCCATAGCTGCTGCCAGGCCCCTAATCTGCCATGGGCCCCTATATACCGCCTCCTCATGCTGCTGCCAGGTCCAGAGTCTCTCATGGGTCCCTGTACGGCCTCCCATTGCTGCTGTCTCCATCGCCACACTCTGCCATGTGCCACATTCAGGTCTCCTCACACTGCTGTGTGTTCAATTTTTTGACATAGGGTGCTGGCAGATTACGGGCCTCCCATAGCTGCTGCCAGGCCCCTAATCTGCCATGGGCCCCTATATACCTCCTCCTCATGCTGCTGCCAAGTCCAGAGTCTCTCATGGGTCCCTGTACGGCCTCCCATTGCTGCTGTCTCCATCGCCACACTCTGCCATGTGCCACTTTCAGGTCTCCTCACACTGCTGGTGTGTAAAATTTTTTGACATAGGGTGCTGGCAGATTACGGGCCTCCTATAGCTGCTGCCAGGCCCCTAATCTGCCATAGGCCCCTATATACCGCCTCCTCATGCTGCTGCCAGGTCCAGAGTCTCTCATGGGTCCCTGTACGGCCTCCCATTGCTGCTGTCTCCATCGCCACACTCTGCCATGTGCCACTTTCAGGTCTCCTCACACACTGCTGGTGTGTTGAATTTTTTTTTGACATAGGGTGCTGGCAGATTACGGGCCTCCTATAGCTGCTGCCAGGCCCCTAATCTGCCATGGGCCCCTATATACCGCCTCCTCATGCTGCTGCCAAGTCCAGAGTCTCTCATGGGTCCCTGTACGGCCTCCCATTGCTGCTGTCTCCATCGCCACACTCTGCCATGTGCCACTTTCAGGTCTCCTCACACACTGCTGGTGTGTTGAATTTTTTGACATAGGGTGCTGGCAGATTACGGGCCTCCTATAGCTGCTGCCAGGCCCCTAATCTGCCATAGGCCCCTATATATACCGCCTCCTCATGCTGCTGCCAAGTCCAGAGTCTCTCATGGGTCCCTGTACGGCCTCCCATTGCTGCTGCTGTCTCCATCGCCACACTCTGCCATGTGCCACTTTCAGGTCTCTTCACACTGCTGCTGTGTTTTCAATTTTTTGACATAGGGTGCTGGCAGATTACGGGCCTCCCATAGCTGCTGCCAGGCCCCTAATCTGCCATGGGCCCCTATATACCGCCTCCTCATGCTGCTGCCAAGTCCAGAGTCTCTCATGGGTCCCTGTACGGCCTCCCATTGCTGCTGTCTCCATCGCCACACTCTGCCATGTGCCACTTTCAGGTCTCCTCACACTGCTGGTGTGTTGAATTTTTTGACATAGGGTGCTGGCAGATTACGGGCCTCCTATAGCTGCTGCCAGGCCCCTAATCTGCCATGGGCCCCTATATACCGCCTCCTCATGCTGCTGCCAGGTCCAGAGTCTCTCATGGGTCCCTGTACGGCCTCCCCATTGCTGCTGTCTCCATCGCCACACTCTGCCATGTGCCACTTTCAGGTCTCCTCACACACTGCTGGTGTGTAGAATTTTTTGACATAGGGTGCTGGCAGATTACGGGCCTCCTATAGCTGCTGCCAGGCCCCTAATCTGCCATGGGCCCCTATATACCGCCTCCTCATGCTGCTGCCAAGTCCAGAGTCTCTCATGGGTCCCTGTACGGCCTCCCATTGCTGCTGTCTCCATCGCCACACTCTGCCATGTGCCACTTTCAGGTCTCCTCACACTGCTGGTGTGTAAATTTTTTGACATAGGGTGCTGGCAGATTACGGGCCTCCTATAGCTGCTGCCAGGCCCCTAATCTGCCATAGGCCCCTATATACCGCCTCCTCATGCTGCTGCCAGGTCCAGAGTCTCTCATGGGTCCCTGTACGTCCTCCCATTGCTGCTGTCTCCATCGCCACACTCTGCCATGTGCCACATTTCAGGTCTCCTCACACTGCTGGTGTGTTCAATTTTTTGACATAGGGTGCTGGCAGATTACGGGCCTCTCCCATAGCTGCTGCTGCCAGGCCCCTAATCTGCCATGGGCCCCTATATACCGCCTCCTCATGCTGCTGCCAAGTCCAGAGTCTCTCATGGGTCCCTGTACGGCCTCCCATTGCTGCTGTCTCCATCGCCACACTCTGCCATGTGCCACTTTCAGGTCTCCTCACACACTGCTGGTGTGTAGAATTTTTTGACATAGGGTGCTGGCAGATTACGGGCCTCCTATAGCTGCTGCCAGGGCCCCTAATCTGCCATGGGCCCCCTATATACCGCCTCCTCATGCTGCTGCCAGGTCCAGAGTCTCTCATGGGTCCCTGTACGGCCTCCCATTGCTGCTGTCTCCATCGCCACACTCTGCCATGTGCCACTTTCAGGTCTCCTCACACACTGCTGGTGTGTTGAATTTTTTGACATAGGGTGCTGGCAGATTACGGGCCTCCCATAGCTGCTGCCAGGCCCCTAATCTGCCATGGGCCCCTATATACCGCCTCCTCATGCTGCTGCCAGGTCCAGAGTCTCTCATGGGTCCCTGTACGGCCTCCCATTGCTGCTGTCTCCATCGCCACACTCTGCCATGTGCCACTTTCAGGTCTCCTCACACACTGCTGGTGTGTAGAATTTTTTGACATAGGGTGCTGGCAGATTACGGGCCTCCCATAGCTGCTGCCAGGCCCCTAATCTGCCATGGGCCCCTATATACCCCTCCTCCTCATGCTGCCAGGTCCAGAGTCTCTCATGGGTCCCTGTACGGCCTCCCATTGCTGCTGTCTCCATCGCCACACTCTGCCATGTGCCACTTTCAGGTCTCCTCACACACACTGCTGGTGGTGTGTGTAGAATTTTTTGACATAGGGTGCTGGCAGATTACGGGCCTCCTATAGCTGCTGCCAGGCCCCTAATCTGCCATAGGCCCCTATATACCGCCGCCTCCTCATGCTGCTGCCAAGTCCAGAGTCTCTCATGGGTCCCTGTACGGCCTCCCATTGCTGCTGTCTCCATCGCCACACTCTGCCATGTGCCACTTTCAGGTCTCTTCACACTGCTGGTGTTTTCAATTTTTTTGACATAGGGTGCTGGCAGATTACGGGCCTCCTATAGCTGCTGCCAGGCCCCTAATCTGCCATGGGCCCCTATATACCGCCTCCTCATGCTGCTGCCAAGTCCAGAGTCTCTCATGGGTCCCTGTACGGCCTCCCATTGCTGCTGTCTCCATCGCCACACTCTGCCATGTGCCACTTTCAGGTCTCCTCACACACTGCTGGTGTGTAAAATTTTTTGACATAGGGTGCTGGCAGATTACGGGCCTCCCATAGCTGCTGCCCAGGCCCCTAATCTGCCATAGGCCCCTATATACCGCCTCCTCATCATGCTGCTGCCAGGTCCAGAGTCTCTCATGGGTCCCTGTACGGCCTCCCATTGCTGCTGTCTCCATCGCCACACTCTGCCATGTGCCACTTTCAGGTCTCCTCACACACTGCTGGTGTGTAGAATTTTTTGACATAGGGTGCTGGCAGATTACGGGCCTCCTATAGCTGCTGCCAGGCCCCTAATCTGCCATGGGCCCCTATATACCGCCTCCTCATGCTGCTGCCAAGTCCAGAGTCTCTCATGGGTCCCTGTACGGCCTCCCATTGCTGCTGTCTCCATCGCCACACTCTGCCATGTGCCACTTTCAGGTCTCCTCACACTGCTGGTGTGTGTTTTGAATTTTTTGACATAGGGTGCTGGCAGATTACGGGCCTCCTATAGCTGCTGCCAGGCCCCTAATCTGCCATAGGCCTCTATATACCGCCTCCTCATGCTGCTGCCAAGTCCAGAGTCTGTCATGGGTCCCTGTACGGCCTCCCATTGCTGCTGTCCCATCGCCACACTCTGCCATGTGCCACTTTCAGGTCTCCTCACACTGCTGGTGTGTTGAATTTTTTGACATAGGGTGCTGGCAGATTACGGGCCTCCCATAGCTGCTGCCAGGCCCCTAATCTGCCATGGGCCCCCGTATACCGACTCCTCATGCTGTGACGTTGCAACAAGGTGGAATTCAACCCTACATATGTTAGACCGCCTTTACGAACAGCAAAAGGCCATCACAGATTTCCTGATGTTAAAAGCGGATAAAGGTACTCCCTGTGTAACTTAGATGTCAGCCATTGGCAGCTCATGCGTGACACCTGCGCTTGCTCAGGCCCTTTGAGGAGGCCACGCTATTCGTGAGTCGGCAGGACTATGGGATGAACGACGTCATTCCTCTGTTGCACGTCCTGGAACAAATGCTGTTAACAATGGCTGGTCAGGGGCTGCGGTAGACGTGGCGCACAGATCTCAACGCCACATGACCCCTGTGGGGGCAGGACAGGAAGAAGAGGAGGAGGTAGAGGAGGACATTGGTGTCAGGAATTATTGAGTGAAATGGGTGGTTTTTCCACTCAGCGGACAGGAGTGGAGGAGCAGGAGCATCTGGTAGAGGAGGAGGAAGAGGAGACAGAGGACCCAGACGCACCGTGGCAGTATGCTGTGGAGATGGAGGCAGGGAGTCCCTCGCATTCCTTGGCACAAATGGCCCATAGCATGCTCGCTTGCTTGCGTAGCGACAGCCGAATAATAACCATCAGACAGAGGGATGACTTTTGGCTGTCCACCTTGTTGGACCCTCGCTACCGTTCAAAAATGGTGGCCTTTTTCACACCTGCTGAGAGGGAGGCCAAAATAACGTACTATAAAAACCACCTATGTAGTCAGCTGGTCTCTGCCTTCTGCGCCAACGTCCATCCTCAGACACACTGTGGGCCCTGTGCGCTCGCGTTCCGCTGCCATGGCAGCAGGGGAGGGGTGGGGTGGTAGGAGCAGTGGCAGCTCCACCAGCAGCGGCTGCCTCAGTCTGCAGTCTGCAGTCGGATGAGTAGCTTTCTTCACCAGCGCAGTGAGGAAACTACTAACCAGCCGCAGCAGCAGCAGCAGCAGCATCAGGTGGACCTGGAGCAGGACCTCAAACAACAGGCTTAGGCCTACTTGGACAGCACCCTGCCAACCGAGGTAGACAATCCCCTTGACTACTGGGCAACGAAACTTGACCTTTGGCCCCAACTAGCTGAATTTGCCTTTGAAAGGCTGTCATGCCCGGCCAGTAGCGTGGCATCGGAGCGCGTGTTTAGTGCGGCAGGAGGTATTGCAACTCCGCGGAGGACACGACTGTCCACCCAAAGTGTGGAGAGACTCACGTTTGTGAAAATGAATCAGGCGTGGATTAGTCTGGATTTCAAACCACCAGTTCCTGACACAACTGACTAAATCCGCCATGAATCATGCTCCAAACATGTGCCACTTTCAGGTCTCCTCACACTGCTGGTGTGTTCCATTTTTTGTCATAGGGTGCTGGCAGATTACGGGCCTCCCATAGCTGCTGCCAGGCCCCTAATCTGCCATGGGCCCCTATATACCGCCTCCTCATGCTGCTGCCAAGTCCAGAGTCTCTCATGGGTCCCTGTACGGCCTCCCATTGCTGCTGTCTCCATCGCCACACTCTGCCATGTGCCACTTTCAGGTCTCCTCACACTGCTGGTGTGTTCCATTTTTTGTCATAGGGTGCTGGCAGATTACGGGCCTCCCATAGCTGCTGCCAGGCCCCTAATCTGCCATGGGCCCCTATATACCGCCTCCTCATGCTGCTGCCAAGTCCAGAGTCTCTCATGGGTCCCTATACGGCCTCCAATTGCTGCTGTCTCCATCGCCACACTCTGCCATGTGCCACTTTCAGGTCTCCTCACACTGCTGGTGGGTTCCATTTTTTGTCATAGGGTGCTGGCAGATTACGGGCCTCCCATAGCTGCTGCCAGGCCCCTAATCTGCCATGGGCCCCCGTACCGACTCCTCATGCTGCTGCCAGGCCCGTAATCTGACATGGGCCCCTGTTGTCGCTTGTTGGCATATTCCGCTCGTTCAGATGCTCCTTCTCCTGCTACTCCTCTTCACGGATTCCGTCAGCAGTCTTTCTTGGAATCCGTTTCCAAGAGACAACAGTTTGCGAACACGCACCCGACGGTGCAGAAGCTGAACGTCTTCCTGTCCAAGTTGCTGCTGCCAGGCTCGTAATCTGTCATGCGCCCCTGTACCGCCTCCTCATGCTGCTGCCAGGTCCAGAGTGTGTCATGGGCCCCCGTACCGACTCCTCATGCTGCTGCCAGGCCCGTAATCTGTCATGGGCCCCTGTACCGTCTCCCCATGCTGCTGCCAGGTCCAGAGTGTGTCATGGGTCCCTGTACGGCCTCCCATTGCTGCTGCCAGGCCCGTAATCTGCCATGGGCCCCCGTACCGACTCCTCATGCTGCTGCCAGGCCCGTAATCTGTCATGGGCCCCTGTACCGCCTCCTCATGCTGCTGCCAGGTCCAGAGTGTGTCATGGGTCCCTGTACGGCCTCCCATTGCTGCTGTCTCTATCGCCACACTCTGCCATGTGCCACTTTCAGGTCTCCTCACACTGCTGGTGGTTTCCATTTTTGTCATAGGGTGCTGTATGGCCTCCCATTGCTGCTGCCTCCACCGCCACACTGTGGCTCCACACTCTGGTTTTGGCCCCGTGACTGCCCAAATGAGTGAAGTGTGCGGTGATTCTAAGATCGACGGCACTCATCTGCATGTCATACTGACTGACAGTATTATTTCTCTTCCCCAGCAGACTCCAAGGGCATTTAAATTAAAGGTACAGTGTTCTGCACTAATATTAAGTCTCTCTGAAGCCTAGAAACACCCTTTTTTAAGTTAAATTCACAGCGAATTTATTCGACTCGAATCGAATATTGTCCACGAATTCGCCGAATCAGTCGAATCGAATTTTTCATTTCTTCGCTCATCTCTACTCATATTCAGCCAAATGCTTCACAACTCATTGGACGCCGCTTCACAGTGCAGATGGACAATGACCCAAAGCAGACTGCAAAAGCAACCAAAGAGTTTTTTAAGGGAAAGAAGTGGAATGTTCTGCAATGGCCAAGTCAATCACCTGACCTGAATCCGATTGAGCATGCATTTCACTTGCTGAAGACAAAACTGAAGGGAAAATGCCCCAAGAACAAGCAGGAACTGAAGACAGTTGCAGTAGAGGCCTGGCAGAGCATCACCAGGGATGAAACCCAGCGTCCGGTGATGTCTATGCGTTCCACACTTCAGGCTGTAATTGACTGCAAAGGATTTGCAACCAAGTATTAAAAAGTGAAAGTTTATTTATGATTATTATTCTGTCCCATTACTTTTGGTCCCTTAACAAGTGGGAGGCACATATGCAAACTGTTGTAATTCCTACACCGTTCACCTGATTTGGATGTAAATACCCTCAAATTAAAGTTGACAGCCTGCAGTTAAATCACATCTTGTTCGTTTCATTTCAAATCCATTGTGGTGGTACATAGAGCCAAAAATGTTAGAATTGTGTCCATGTCCCAATATTTATGGACCTGCCTGTATTTGAACACAGGCATAATTTTAGATTTTTTCAGGTATTTACCAAAACATATTCAAGCTATGGTTATATAATGGATATGGGCTGAAAGTGCACACTCTCAGGTTTAATTTGAGGGTATGTACATCGAAATTGGAGGAAGGGTTTAGGAATTACAGCTCTTAAGATTAGCCATCCCACCTTTTTCAAGGGACCAAAGTAATTGGACAATTGAATCAAAAGCTTTTTCACGGCCAAGGCTGGGCTACTCCATGATTTCTTCATCATTTAAGCAGGTAAAAGGTCTGGAGTTGATTCTAAGTGTGGTATTCGCATTTGGTATCTATTACTGTGAACCTACGTCATGCGTTCAAAGGAGTTGTCCATGCAAGTGAAACAGGCCATTGTAAGGCTTCAAAAATGAAACAAATCCATAAGAGAGATAGCAGAAACATCAGTGGTGGCCAAATCAACAGTTTAGTACATTCTGAGGAAAGAAGAACACACTGGTGAGCTCAAAAAAAACATAAAAAAGGATGGACGTCCACAGAAGACAACAGTGGTGGATGATCGCAGGTTCCTCTCTATGGAAAAAAAAACGTATTCACAACATACAGAAAAGTGAAGGACACTCTCCAGGAGGTGGGCGTATCATTGTTAAAGTCTACAATCAAGAGAAGACTTCATGAGAGCAAATACAAAGGGTTCACCACAAGGTGCAAACCATTCATAAGCCTGAAAAATAGAAAAGCCATGATTAGACTTTGACAAAAAACATCTAAAATAGCCAGAGTAGTTCTGAAAAGCATTCTTTGGACGGATGAAAACTAAGATTAATCTGTACCAGAATGACGGGAAGAAAAAAAGTGTGGAGAAGGCTTGGAATAGCTTATGATCCAAAGTACACAATGTCATCTGTAAAACATGGTGGAGGCAATGTGATGGCATGGGCATGCATGGCTTCCAGTGGCACTGGGTGATTGGTGTTTATTAATGATGTGACAGAAGACAGAAGCAACCAGATGAATTCTGCAGTTTTTAGAGATATACTGTCAGCCCAGATTCAGCCAAATGCAGCAAAGTTGATTGGACAGCACTTCACAGTACAGATGGACAATGATCCAAAACACACTGCAAAAGCAACCCAGGAGCTTTTGAAGGAAAAGAATTGGAATATTCTGCAATGGCCAAGTCAATCACCAGATCTCAACCCAATTGAGCATGCATTTCACTTGCTGAAGGCAAAACTAAAGGTAGACAGACTCACAAGCAAATAACAACTGAAGGCAGCTACAGTTAGAGCCTGGCACAGCTTCAGAAAGGAGGAAACCCAGTCTTTGGTAATGTCCATGGATTCCAGACTTCAGGCAGTCATTGCCAGTAAAGGATTCTCAACAAAATATTAAAAATGAACCCTTTATTTATGATTATATTCATTTGTCCAATTACATTTGAGCCCCTGAAAATGGAGGGACTGTGTATAAAAATGGTTGCAGTTCCTAAAATTTGTA